TGACCCTAAAGGTAAAAGAAAAGCCAAAAAGCTTGACATAACATGTCATAAATGTGGCAAACTTGGCCATTATGCCAACCAATGCTGGACTAAAAAAGCTCTTAATGAGATAGAAGATGAACAATTACGTTCTCAATTAGAGAAAGTTTTACTTCTCAAATCTGATTCTGAAGATTACTCTTCTGAAGAAGATATTAATATGATTTATGAATCTTCTTCTGATTACTCATCTGAATCTTCTAACAATAATAATTGTCAATGTAATCAATTAGATTACTGGAAATCAATAGTGGATATGAATGGGTTAAATGTTTTAACCTCAGAACAGGATGGAGCTATAAAGGCTATAGAGTCCATTTCTGATGAAAATCTTAAAAGAAAAATGCTTGAGGTTCTAATCCAAGAAAACTCTAAAAGAGAATCTCCTATTATTACAGAAGCCCCTTACCAATTAAGTGAGGTTTTTTCTAGATTTAGACAGTCTAACATTCGTGAAACTCCTGTTTCTATTATGGATTTAAATAGAGAAATAAACCTCTTAAAAAATGAGATAGCTCAAATTAAAAAAGAAAACTATGGTTTATCTCAAAGGCTCACTTTCTTAGAGACCAATAATTCAAAAATTGAAGAGATAGCTTCCACTAGTTAACCCTCACCTAGTGATAGATTCCTTTCTCTCATTGATAGAGTAACTTCTCAAAAATGGTTTGTTAGAATAACATTAGTTATTAATAGAAATTTCATATTAGAAAATGAAGTTGCCCTTATTGATAGTGGAGCTGATTTAAACTGCCTTCAAGAAGGAATAATTCCCACTAAATATTTTGATAAAACTACTCAATCTCTTACACAAGCTGGAGGAGATAAACTCACAGTTAATTATAAAATGTCTATTGCTTATGTTTGTAACAAAGATGTTTGTTTACCCACTCACTTTATTCTTGTGAAAAATTTAACTCATAGAATTATATTAGGAACTCCCTTTCTGCATAAAATTATGCCTCTAATTAATGTTGATCAAAAGGGAATTACCTCCATTATTAATAATAAAAGGATTACTTTTGAATTTATTACTGATCCCCATACCAGGATGACTAATGAAGTTAAAGATATTCTTTTTAAAAAGGAAAAACAAATTTGTTTCCTTAAAGAAGAAGTTGATCTATTAAACATCACTTCTCAGCTTAACAAACCCGAAATTCAAAATCAAATTAAATTAATTGATCAATAGTTTAGAGATGAAATCTGCAATGGTTTACCTAATGCCTTTTGGGATAGAAAGAAACATGTTATTTCCTTACCTTATCATGATGACTTTAATGAAAGTCAGATTCCCACTAAAGCTAGGCTTGCTCAAATGAACCACGAGTATTTGGATTTATGCAAAAAAGAGATAGAATCTCTTTTAGAGAAAAAATTAATAAGAAAATCCAAATCCCCTTGGAGTTGCACAGCCTTTTATGTCAATAATGCTGCAGAAAAGGAACGTGGAGTTCCTAGACTCGTTATTAATTACAAACCATTTAATAAAGTGTTAAAATGGATTAGATATCCTATTCCTAATAAAAAAGATCTCTTAGATAGATTAAACAATGCTTTAATCTTCTCTAAATTTGATATGAAATCTGGTTATTGGTAAATTCAGATTAATGAATCTGATAAGTATAAAACAGCCTTTACCGTACCTTTTGGACATTATGAATGGAATGTCCTTCCTTTTGGTCTTAAAAATGCCCCTTCTGAATTTCAAAATATTATGAATGATATTTTTAATCCTTATACGGAATTTATAATGGTTTATATTGATGATGTTTTAGTTTTTTCAAAAACTATAGATTAACATATTAAACATTTGAAAATATTCAAAGGATTAATTAAGCATAATGGATTAGTAATATCTGCTCCTAAGATGAAACTTTTTCAAACAAGGGTTAGATTTTTAGGACATGAAATTGACCAAGGAACTATAATTCCTATACAAAGAAGTATTGAATTTGCTTCTAAATTCCCTGATATTATTACAGATAAGAAACAATTACAAAGGTTTCTAGGTAGCCTCAATTACATAGCAGATTATTATGAAAATCTTGCTAAAGATACGACAATATTACATGCTAGGCTTAAAAAGAATCCCGGCCCTTGGACTTAAAAACATTCTCAGGCAGTCCAAAGAATTAAAAATAAGGTGAAATGTTTGCCTTGTTTATCTCTTGCTAATCCTAAGTATTTTAAAATTGTTGAAACTGATGCTTCAGACATAGGCTATGGAGGAATCCTTAAACGAATAATACCTGAAACATCAAAAGAAGTTTTAGTTAGATTTACTTCTAGAAAATGGAATCCAACACAAGCAAAATATTCAACTATCAAGAAAGAAATACTTTCTATTATAAAATGCATTTCAAAATTTCAAGATGATCTTCTTAATAAATTTTTTTATTAAAAATTGATTGTAGCTCAACTAAATCAATTATTGAAAAAGATGTTAAAAATCTTGTTGCTAAGCAAATTTTTGCTAGTTGGCAATCACAATTATCTATGTTTGAATTTGATATTCAACACATTAAAGGTGAAAATAATTCACTTGCTGATTATTTAACTCGTGAATTTTTGCAGGGAAAAAATGATGACCCCATATAGGGGTAGAGGCCGCAGTTATGGCCGTGGTGGGAGAGGGAGTAACAATATGTTACCCCAACCAGAATCAAACATTCCTCTAATAGGGGATTGGACTACTGTCTACAAAGGCAGAAAAATGCAGCAATTACCTGCATCTCCAGCAAAAAAGGAAAATATTGCTTCCTCTTCCTCTAATAAAACTACATCCTACAAGGAAGTTGCGGTTAATAACCCACCTCAAGAACAAATGGATTATTTTGAAAATCCAGTAACTGAGAAAATCATGTATTTTGATGATGAAAATATTAAGATAAATCTAAATGATGGTTGGTCTATCAAGACTAGATACCTCAAATCAAGAGGATATCCATGTCTTCATGGAAAATCTAGGCCCAACCTAGAAATTCTCCTGACTGTTACCGAATCGGTAACAATTACCCACCACTACCAAAACAATAATCCTGAAAGTTTTATAAACTTCACTAAATGTCACATTAACAAAATTTTGTTACCAAGAGAATGGGGTCTTAAACCAAATGCTGAAAAGGCAATAAGAATTGCAGAAGGAAAGTATATTTACTTTAATTATTAGGACTATGTCCAAGCTTTCACTCAAGCTTTTTATTACCAAAATCCCAAGAACAAGCATTCTTGGTTTTTCTCTATTAATCAAGAGATGGTTAATAAACCCATACCAAATTGGTTTTATGAATGGTGGGCTAAATTTGGTCCATCTTTGGAGATTCTTCCTAAAGAAACTCTTAACTTATAAAATCCATGGTGTGATAATAGTCCACTTATTGTAAAAATTTTATCTGATAATTTAATCACTGGACAATGTCCATTATTGTTCTTTACTAAATTTCAGATTCCATGGATATGGATATGGTCAATCACCATATCAAAGAACAAATTCAACATTCCCATTTTAGAAAGAAATTTCTTCTATAAATGGTGGAACAAGATGAGTTCAGAGGATGTCCATAATAAAATAAAGTTAATTCAAGAAGCTATAGCTGAAGACCAGAATAATAAGGTCAAGGAGCAAAGCTCCCAACAAATGTCTATGGAAAACTTGAAGAACTTCTTCCATAGGAAATATCCAAACGAATCAGAAGATGAAATCATGGTCAGAATTTTGGATCATATGAAGAACCAATTCTTCTCTACTTTTCCAACAAAAGCATCAAAAGATGAAGATTCATCTATGAAGACAAGCTCTTCCATGGGATCAATGGATTCCCATAACTTTGATGGTTTGGCAGGAGAAGGTCAAGCAGATGAAGCTACTGCAGAAGATTTCTGGGATGCTATGATTCAATGTATGAAAGCAAAAGAAAAAACAAAGAATTAAATTATTATCTTGTCTAAAACAATGGAATAAGAATCAACGGACAAAGGCTAGAAGACAAGAAATAATAGAAGAAGAATCATGACAAAAGTAAAAGACAAGAGAATCTTATCTTGTCTAGGCATAATTGCATGCATTTTCTTTCTTTTGTAAAAGACAAGGGAATAAGAATCTTATCTTGTCTTTAGAAATTCTAGGCATGCATTTTTATTTCTTTTGTTTTTTGTTTCTTGTTAATTGTTGTGTCGATGGGGCCCAAAGAGTACCCGACAATAATTATACAAGTTGCGTTTTAGTTTACCGGCTATTGTAACTAGCGGTTACCGACTTAAATAGTAAGCCTTTTCTTCCTTATATAAAGGGACTTCAGTTTCTTTTGTAGACACACCTTTGAATAACAAGTTATAATTTTCTTACAATATTGTCTCTACAATCTTCTATACTCCTCTTTTCTTTACTATATTCTGATCCTGCTTCCGCTAAATACACACTTTGATATCATCACCTGGATTTACCAAATCTGAGGTATATTTCTTCTTTATTATGAAAATTAGTGGCTAAATTTATGTTGTGAGAGGTTGATTATGCTTAGATAAAACTAAGTAGGTAACTTTTTTTCATAACATGTTATTAACAAGCAAACCACCTTTTCAAAGTGTTTTTCAAAAACTAAAAAATGTTTTTAGTGTTTTCTTTAACATTCATCTTTTTTTTTTCCCGGGGAAGGGAGTTGTTGATGATTTCAAAAAAGAAATTTTTTGCTAAAACCATTTTGACATCTTTGATTTGAGAGAAATCCTTCTATCCCTTCGGGTTGATAGTTAAACAATTTGTTGTTTGCTTAGATGACTTTTAATTGGTTGTTGTTTCTGTTAACATTATGTTATGAGTCCAAGTTATCTATTTAGATTTAACTTTGCGTATCAACCAATCACAACATTCTTAGCCTGTTTCCTTTATGGATTCTGATGATGATAATCATCAAAATAATTAAATAAAAAATGAAGAATTAATTGAATATCCAAAAAATATGGATAAACTCAACAGATGGGTTATACCCTCAGTTCCTTCTAATCAAATTTATAGATTTGGTAAGATAGATGTTTTTTCTCGTTTTGCTGTTAAAACTTTAGAACAAACGATTCAAATTTCTAAAGAAACTCAGACAATAAAACTGTTAACTAAAAAAGATTTGAAACCTTTTACAAATTATAATTTTATCCATATTGGACTGGTTCAAATTACTTTAAAACCTTTAACATTATTAGGTTTAAATTCTAGCATAATGGCTTATGTTCGAGATGGTAGATGTAAAGATTTTAAACAATCTTTAGCTGCTATGGTTGAGACAAGTCTGTGTCATGGACCAGTTTACGTTGATGTCTCACCTAATTTAAATCTATCTTTATCTGATTAAAATTTATTAGATGCTATGCAATTAACAGTTCATACTAATCGTTACAATTTTAAACCTGGAAGTGAAATCATAGCAATATGCTATAGAATCTACTATAAGTTTCTTACTACGCTTAATCCTAAAGCAAAACATTTATCATTTCCTGGAACGACTACTTTGGTTCAAACAAATTTATTAACATCCAATGTTGCAACCAATAGGTTAATAAAGTGGGATGAAATAAACTTCCCGGAGACATGGTCTCTCCCCTAGGAAATAGATCCTGAACCTATCCTTAATAGGGATATAGACCAAATTATTCAGACTACTGAAGGAGATTTGGAAATAAACTTCACTTCAAAAAGAATAACTAGAATACCCAGATCTCTATCTGCTAGGTACTCAGTTAGTGAATTTTACACAGCTCCTAGCCAATTACCTAGACCTTCTACTTCTCAAATAAGAGAAGAAATAGAGGCCGTTGAAAATATAAGACTAAGCGAAAATAGAATTCCCCATGGAATTTATCAAAAACCTCATACTCCAAGAGTAGAATCACCTACTCAGTCAGATATGGATTTTCATTTATGATGATAGATTACTCCCCTGGTAGTAAGATGAGACAACTCATCAATGATGAGTTTCAACATGAGAGATACTCTCAATTTAGAAATTGGTTTTTTAAAAAATTTTCAAAACCTGAATTAGCCCAATTTAAAGATGAGTATTACACTCAAATGAACCTTGAACAGGATTTCGTTCCTTTTGTTAAATGGTTTGTTAATTATTTCATAAATAAAAAGCAAGAAGAAATTCTTGTGTTACAAAGACCTTGGGAAAACATTAGAGGAGAAATAATGAAATCTCCTTTTCCCCTGAACAAACAATAAGTTTGAGTCAAAATACTGAAGCTACCTCTTACCTTAACCTTCAGTTACAAAGAGTTGAACAAAATCAAGTTACTCTTAAGGAATTAAATTCAGTCATCAGGTCTCAAAATTATACCAATGCTTACCTTGTTTGCTTAGGAGAACAATTTATCTCCATGGAAAAAAGATCTCTTATCAATAAAAGACCTTTTAGAAAAACAAATAGAGCGTCAAGATATCATTATTGACCACCTAAATAAACCTAAAGACCAAATATCCACATCCACTATTTCGGATGTTCCTATAGTGCAACCTCCTGTTTCCATAGAAGGATTTAAATTGGAAAGCATTGGAGAATAATTTGTTCGTATTTTAGAACAAAAATTAAAAGGACTTAATATCACTGTCATGTCCCATGAAGATTATTCTGAGGATAATAATGACAACCATATTGACCAGCTTTCAGATATGTTTGCTAATTTAGACATTAGTAACCTTGATAGTAATAATACTAATAATATTAATAATACTACTAGTATAAGCCCTATTTATTCCCCAAGACCTATAGAAAAGTATTATTACAAGCGTCCCTCACCGCAAGATTTGCTTTTTGAGGAATCAGAACCTTTCCAGAATTCTTATTCAAGAAAAGCCATTTATGAATGGAATGTTGATGGTCTTAATGACAAACAAATTATAGATACAATCCATAGGATGATCATGTACTCTACTGTTTGCAATCAACATGGAAATTCTGATAGTTCTATAGCGTCCTTTATAACAACAGGATTTGTTGGCCAACTTAGAGGCTGGTGGGATCATTATCTCACTGAATCTCAAAAATTAGAGATTCTTAATCACAAAAAAATCATTAAGAGCGAACCAAGAGCTAATACGAGCACTATTGTAGCTACGACCACCACAGGAGAAGAAGATGCAGTGTATACACTGTGTCTTTCCATCTTACAACATTTTGTAGGAACCAATGTCCCCATTGGAGAAAAAATTCAGACACTTCTCCAAAACCTTAGGTGTCCTTCTCTTACCCACTTTAGATGGTATAAGGATACTTTTCTTTCAAGAGCTTATCAATTAAACAATCCCAATTCTTTGCACTAGAAAGCAAAATTTATTGATGGATTACCCCATTTCTTTTCTGAAAAGGTTAGACAATCTTTAAGACAAAAAAATGATGGAATAAATATAAATTATTCTGACCTTACTTATGGTCAAATAATTAGTACTTGTGTTAATGAAGGATTAACTTTATGTAATGACATAAAGCTTAGAAATCAACTTAAAAAGCAAAAGCTTTATGAGAAATACCAACTTGGTGAATTTTGCGAACAATTTGCTTTTGATCTTGGAAAATATCCAGATAATAAAAAGAAAAAAGGAAAAATTTTCCGCAATAAACCTTATAGAGATAAGTCAAAAAATTCTTATAAAAATTCTTATAAGAATAAGAAAAGGGGTCACTACAATAAGGGTAGACCTAAAGAAAAATCTTTTGACCCTAAAGGTAAAAGAAAAGCCAAAAAGCTTGACATAACATGTCATAAATGTGGCAAACCTGGCCATTATGCCAACCAATGCTGGACTAAAAAAGCTCTTAATGAGATAGAAGATGAACAATTACGTTCTCAATTAGAGAAAGTTTTACTTCTCAAATCTGATTCTGAAGATTACTCTTCTGAAGAAGATATTAATATGATTTATGAATCTTCTTCTGATTACTCATCTGAATCTTCTAACAATAATAATTGTCAATGTAATCAATTAGATTACTGGAAATCAATAGTGGATATGAATGGGTTTAATGTTTTAACCTCAAAACAGGATGGAGCTATAAAGGCTATAGAGTCCATTTCTGATAAAAATCTTAAAAGAAAAATGCTTGAGGTTCTAATCCAAGAAAACATTAAAAGAGAATCTCCTATTATTACAGAAGCCCCTTACCAATTAAGTAAGGTTTTGTCTAGATTTAGACAGTCTAACATTCGTGAAACTCCTGTTTCTATTATGAATTTAAATAGAGAAATAAACCTCTTAAAAATGAGATAGCTCAAATTAAAAAAGAAAACTATGGTTTATCTCAAAGGCTCACTTTCTTAGAGACCAATAATTCAAAAATTGAAGAGATAGCTTCCACTAGTAATCCTTCACCTAGTGATAGATTCCTTTCTCTCATTGATAGTGTAACTTCTCAAAAATGATTTGTTAGAATAACATTAGTTATTAACATAAATTTCATATTAGAAAATGAAGTTGCCCTTATTGATAGTGGAGCTGATTTAAACTGCCTTCAAAAAGGAATAATTCCCACTAAATATTTTGATAAAACTACTCAATCTCTTACACAAGCTGGAGGAGATAAACTCACAGTTAGTTATAAACTGCCTAATGCTTATGATTGTAACAAAGATATTTGTTTACCCACTCACTTTATTCTTGTGAAAAATTTAACTCATAGAATTATATAGGAACTCCCTTTCTGCATAAAATTATGCCTCTAATTAACGTTGATCCAAAGGGAATTACATCCATTATTAATAATAAAAGAATTACTTTTGAATTTATTACTGATCCCCATACCAGGATGACTAATGAAGTTAAAGATATTCTTTTTAAAAAGGAAAAACAAATTTGTTTCCTTAAAGAAAAGTTGATCTATTAAACATCACTGCTCAGCTTAACAAACCCGAAATTCAAAATCAAATTAAATTAATTGATCAACAATTTAGAGATGAAATCTACAATGATTTACCTAATGCCTTTTGGGATAGAAAGAAACATGTTATTACCTTACCTTATCTTGATAACTTTAATGAAAGTCAGATTCCCACTAAAGCTAGGCCTGCTCAAATGAACCACGAGTATTTGGATTTATGCAAAAAAGAGATAGAATCTCTTTTAGAGAAAAAATTAATAAGAAAATCCAAATCCCCTTGGAGTTGCACAGCCTTTTATGTCAATAATGCTGCAGAAAAGGAACGTGGAGTTCCTAGACTCGTTATTAATTACAAACCACTTATAAGTTTCTTATATTGTCTCTCCCAATTTCTATACTCCTTTTCAAACTATTCCGATCCTGCTTCCGCTAAATACACACTTTGATATCATATATATATATATATATATATATATATATATATATATATATATATATATATATATATATATATATATATATATATATATATATATATATATATATATATATATATATATATATATATATATATATATATATATATATATATATATATATATATATATATATATATATATATATATATATATATATATATATATATATATATATATATATATATATATATATATATATATATATAACTATATATAAAGGGGATACAACTTTTTGGTGTGGCCTATTTTTGTTCCACAATTACCCTTCATTAATGCTTAATTTCATATTTTTATTCCATATTTACCCTTTACCTTAATGCTTAATTTCTCACATGATTTATTTAATAATAATAGTAAATAATAACTGTAAAAAATAACTTCCCACTATTTCCAATAGTCCTTCATATTATTAAAGTTCATACTAACTCCTCTATGCAAAGTGAGTCTCTCTCCAAGCCATTTACAAACTATTTCTCTCAATTTGTCAAGCTATTTGCAAATTAATCGTATCCCTCTCTCCCTTTCTTTGTCAAACCGTGCATACCTCCATTATTGGAGCGCAAATAATTGATCTATTACTTCATCTATAATTTATCAAGAGAATTCAATCTTCATTGGTACCTTTGTTTGAAATACAATGGAATGAATGTATAAAGTAGTGTAGATCCAGGCTCTCAACAAACTCATTCTGATATTATTTTTGTCAGGTATTTTTTAAAATATAATTGAATGAATTTATTAAAAATTGATCACATCTCCTCCTATTTACATTTCTATTGGTTTACATTCTTTTATGGACATCGTTTTTGGATATTAATGGAAACTAACCGTTACACTTGCGTGCATTTTTTGTTTTGTTTTTAATTGATACGTGGAAGTTTTTTTTGTACTTGGTAATTAATGTAACTATAAAATAGTTGCTAAGAAATTGTCATAACAATTGGGATATTGCATAACTTTTGACGCGCACTTCCAGTATAAATTGAAAATTATATGATACAG